ACGAGGGGACGACGAGGGGACGACGAGGGGACGACGAGGAGACGACAGAGGGCTCTCCGAGGAGGCGGCACGGGTGATGCGGGGTTCGGGCGTGGGAGGCGGAAAGGGGAAGCGAGAGGGTGTTGAGAGGGTGAGGAGAGGGGGCGAGGCAGTGCGAAGCGGAGAGGGCCGGGCGGCGGAACCCGCGTGTAATGTCCGCGCGCATCAGTCGCTGGCGACGGGTGTCTCGTCCAAGCCGAACCATTAGAGTATCAAAAATTGACGCGGGGTCGGCGTCGGCCATATGTCACGGCCAGCGGCCTCCCGAGCCGAGCCCCGCGCGCCAGGCGTGCCACTTGCCCCGCGCTGCCAACCCTCCGGGCACCGACCTCGGTTGTTGTAGGGCTTCTGAAAGAGATCTCCACTCTGTTACCTGTGCCCACCTGCCTCACAGTTTGTATTGTTAGGTGAATTGTGAAGGCTAAGGAAACTGCAAACTTCTAAGTGCGAGATTTAGTCATAGGTATTTTCAATTTGGTGAGGTTTTAGAAGAAAGAAGGGCAAATGAAACACACTTAAACACCAAACAATGCCCTTTAATATGACATAATCCGTGTTTCTTACAATCTTTTGTTTTGTTTGTATTTTTATTAAAACTTGCGTTGGAGACATACCTCGTTTTTTTTAAAAACCAAACGGAGCAAAATTGAAATAAATGAATAAAATAAGAAAAAAAATCAAAATATCAGAATAGAAGATGATATTTAAGAGGAAGAGGAAAAGAATAGTGCAAGAACATAAAACAAACGTATGCCTCTGGAGTTTTCTAGCGTATGAAGAACTTTAAATCCATTTTACGGAAAGTTGACGTTTTGACTGTCGTTGGTACGTTGAAACAACATATTTCCAGTTCTTATAAAATAGCACGTTATTATTTTTTTATAATAAAATAGATAAGCATATTTTGTGAATTACCCGAAATTGAACATTTCGAAAAATTATTTCATTAATAAATCGGGTTTCAAAACTTTCAAAAACATTTTTTTAACTTTCTAGAAAAATGACTACAAATATACAAACATGCATTAAACAACTAGGACTTTGGCACAAGCACCAGATCAAATCAACTGAATTCATTGAAATTAGAATAGAAGCAATATACATAATAATTGTATTGTTATGTCACAGCACACAGCGTGCTTTTCTATTGAAGATATAATTATCTTACCAAATAAATATTAAAAAATGTTAGCATGAAATTTCCTTATTTGTTATTAACATATTGATCCGCCGAGTTTACGAAAACTGTTACAAAACAATATTTTTTTAAAAAAGCATACTTGGGGTATACCTTGAGCGCTACAAAACATCACGTTCACTGTCGCGTTCGCTGTCGCGTTCGCGTTCGCTGTCGCGTTCGCGTTCGCTGTCGCGTTCGCGTTGGCTGTCTAGTTCGCTTTTACGATTGCTATCACGCTCGCTATCGCGGTCGCTGCCGCGCTCGGTATAACATTCGCTACCCCACTCCCCTGGCAAGGCCGCGGGCGGTGGCTGACGAGGCGAGATACAGAGCCGGCGACGCAGAATTTACCACTCCCATAGTAAAAATATATCTTATACTTATAGTAATCAGAGATATAATTATATAACAACAAATTCTTTTTTTATTCAAATGTTATGACAGGAAGATACTCAGGAATGTATAAAAGAAATAGTTTTGATATAAGCGAAAGTTTATAGTTTTCATATCGAGAAAACAATCGTGACAAGAATACATTGAAGAAAATTACAAAAAATTACTATGTTAATAACTCTTTTAATATTATTGTATTCATACGCTGTACTTTTGAAAATATTTGTTGATTTGTTTCTCTTATTTAAGTCTATCGAAACAGAAAGACAAAATACTATGTTACGGTGCATAACGTGATTCAATTAATCTTCATTTATTGAAATGAAATACTTTACTTTTAGATTAATCCAAGAGGATGAAAACGGAAAGTACGCTCAAATCAATTTAGTCGTTAATGATTAACAACCGCCTATGTGTAAAAAAACAACAACAAAATTTTACAGGAGAAAGGAAAAAAATGAATTTGATGATAAGAGTACACAGTTGGCTAATTTTTCGCATTCTATATTTTCCATGTACACTAGTATTAAATAGTTATTTATTATAATATTTTTTTAAAAGCACCATCCAAAAGTGTCCCATGTGGGTATTACCACATTCTGTCATCAATAAATTGTATAGGTCACATAGGAGGTTTTTATTTTCAATTTTAAGGCCATAGTATCAAGTTTTCTTTGAGAATATTGTTATCAAACTACAGAACAAGCTAATTCTGAATCATTGTTACCAAAATGTATATTCGGTAATTCCGTAACACACGACGTTGACCATCATCAACGGCAATATTTCATTTCACCCTCCCAAAACAAGAACTTCATTTCTGCCAACTTACTTGTAAACAGTTTCATGTTGAGTTGCTCCACCTTTACCTCCTCGGCCGCGACCAGCCCGGCGCTTGGCAAGCAGGGCGTCCGTGGCGTTAGCGGCGGCGGTGCCAGGCAGTCGAGGCGTGGCTGTGGGCAGGGGTGGCGGCAGGGGCGGGGGCGGGGTCCGTGGGCGGGCGACGGTGGGCGGCGGCCGGCAGATAACATGGCCGGCGTCCGCTCGGCTGACGTCGCGATGGCCCGCCCCGCCGGCCGCGTGTCCTCATGGGCCGCGCCCGGCCCCCTCCTTCCCCTCCCCCCTTCCCTCACGCCACGCCCACCCGACGCACGGGGCAGATCTCCTCCGGGGTTATTTAACACCCGTATTATCAAAATGAAAGAGCGGAGGCGTTGAAATTCCCGGCAGATCGCTCAATTTCGGAAGCACCGCCACTGCGGAGCCGGGAGAGTGCGGCAGTAGAGGGGAGGGGTGGTGGGTGGAGTAGGAGGGTGCAGGTGGAGGGGCCCACCGCCGCGCGCATCCGTCTCGCGGTCGGCTGCTCGCGGCGCCGCCAGCGCGCCACTGCGCCCCGTAACATACTCGCCGCCTCCCCCACCGCTCCGCTGCTCTATCTTCCCGCCCTGTCCCCGCTTCGCGCATCGTAACACGCCCGGGCGCGATTTATAAGCGCCGACTTGGTGGACCTCCAGTTCGGGCCGCCAGGGCGCTGTCCCTGCGGACTCGGCGCGGAGGGCCCGGGCGTGGACCTCGCGGACTGGCAGCTCCACCTCCGCCCCGCCACACCTCCAGCCTGCCTACCCCGCCCTTACCCACCCGCGCCGAACCCACGCACGGCCCGCCACGGCCCGCACGGCCCGCCACGGCGCGCCAGGCCCGCCACGGCCCCGCCACGGACCGCCACGGCCTTCCGCACGGCCCCGCCACGGCCCGCCACGGCCCCGCCACGGCCCGCACGGCCCGCAGGCCCAGGCCACGGCCGCCACGGCCCCGCCACGCCCCGCACTGGCCCCGCCAGGCCCCCGCCACGGCCCGCCACGGCCCGCCGGGCCGGCCACGGCCCGCACGGCCTCCGCCACGGCGCCACGGCCGCCGCACGGCCCGCAGCGGCCCCGCACGGCCCGCCACGGCCGCACGGCCGCACGGCGCGCCAGACCGCCACGGCCCACCACGGAGCACGCCAACGGCCCCGCCACGTACCACGCACGACCGCCACGGACCATGCCGCCAGACCCGCAGCGAACACGCCACTACCCGCACGGCCCGCACGGCGCCGCCACGGCCCGCACGGCCCGGCCATGTATTGCACCAGGCTAGGGATGCGACTTAGTTTAATGCTTAGATACATGGATGTGCAAAACTAAGACATTGTTAACATCGATAACGGTATAAAGCATGCCTCAAAGGAAAATCGATGTGTGAAATCTGATTTAGCAATTTTTCTCATTTTTAGTATTAAGATTTTATAAAAGAGAGTCCAAATTAATACAGGAATTGCGCATTCAAAACAATTTTGAATAGTTTTTAACAAGCGTACTTGATTTTTGAAGTTCGTCCAGTACAAAAAATATAAGTTAATTAGTTATGTTTAAAATGATTTCTTAATAGAACGTATTCGTATTGGAATTGGGATTCTTAATTGATTGTTATAAATTTATGATACTAAAATCAGAGATAAGTTTACAACTGACGGTCATTAAAAATATTTAATAATTATATGGATTAGTTAATAATTCATGTTTCACGCCGTTGGATTTTCATTTATTAATGGTGGTCGCGTTTATTCACTTTAATTGAGATTTACTGCAAAACAACTGCCAGGATCAGGACTATTAACAAAACTTTTAATTGTTTGGATTAAGGTAATTTTAAAAACATTCAAATTTAATTTATCGACCAAAACTGACGCTTTTTATTTATATTTCCCATTGTGTTTTTGGTTGAGTAATGTCAATTATTGAAATATGTGGGAAATTTTAATTTGTTTTTATTATGATGGGACGTTGTGTTTTCGTTTAGAAATGAAACTTCCAGCACGTAAAATCATCAAAATAAAAACGTGTATTTCTGTAAGAACATGCGCCTTTTAAATCGTCGATGTTTGTGGAGTTTATACAAATGGATGTTTTCAAAACATCATGCGTCGTACCCCTACCCCATGGCTGCGCTTTTCAATGCAATTTCAACGCAAATTCAATTTCAACGCAACTTAATGCAATTTTTTCGATTCCTCTGCAAACTTTTCCGCATTTGACTGTCTTTTATTGTTTGCTTTGCTTATTCTTCTATTTATCTATTCTCACAGCTGTCTTTTTTTGTAATAGATATTTGTATCATTGGCATTATTATAACTTCTTATTTGATATTTTTTAAGTATTTGGCTAAATTATCTAATGAATGCAGGCATCAGTGTTTCCGGCTTCGGTTCGTTTTTAACTAGATTACTCGTCATTATGGTGGGTGTCAAGTGCTGGAATGCTTGGTGAAACTGAATATATAGTTTTATTACTGGCTTTTCTTTTAAATTTGTTGGCTGGTATTTTTTTCTCTATTCTATTTAGATCCTATCATATTTTAATATTTTTCCTTTTCGTGATTCCATTTGGTTTGACTTCGTTCACTCACCAAACTCAATAGAGTTAAAGACTCTCAAGCAGGAAAGGATTTTGTGTCATTGTTGTGTTTTTTTAACGAATAAACTGAATACGCTATTCTAGAACTGGAAATGTTTTTCTATCAAATGAGATTATTTCATCTGCTTACTTCCGCTCATCAAACCATGTTAGGCTTTTTTCTCTCCTCTCTCTAGCGTTAATTCATTCTCCTTTAGTTCAACCGTTCTGAGGCAAACTTTCGCGATGTGGCATTTTGTCTTGCCGCCTCTCCGGGACGGCACGTCTGCTTCCATCTGTTCTACTTGACACAATCGCAGTGATTTGTCGCGGATGCAACTTCCATTCGGGCACAGTTGCCCGCTTGAACCCTCCGCCTGTTTCGCCGGTTATTTCTGGGCAGTGACTGCCAGTTCCCGCAAGGCCGTGTATGTAATACATCTCTTTCGCTGCCTGTCTGTCTGTCTCAGTCTCGTGCTTGCCTCTCTTCTGCGGGCCGAGCGCCGCCTCCCGTTTCCGCCCGCGCCCCCCGGCCCATAACTGCGCTTGTCTGTCTGTCCTATCCTCATTTACGGAAGTCCCTCGCCCTCGGCATTATTTGGGCTCTCGCTTTCCCTTCATTTCAAACTCCTTGCCAGCCGTGGCGCTCTGCATCGCGCCTCCGCACCCCACCGGCTTCCCACGCTCTGCTTTGCCAGCGCTTGCCCACGCCTTGCCCCCAGCTTTGCCCACAGCGAATTATCATACCTTGGCCCCACGCCTAGCCCCCACACGCTTTGCCCACACGCCTTGCTCCACACGCCTTGCCCCACACGCCTTGCCCCCACAGTTACGCCTTGCCCACAACGCGTTGCCCCACAGCCTTGCCCCACACGCCTTGCCCCACATACGCCTTGCCCCAAGCAAGCTTGCTTCACACACGCTTGCCCCAAGCTTGCTTACCACGGCCTGGCCCACGCGCTTGCCCCACCAGCGCTTGCCACAACGCTTTGCCCCACACGCTTGCCAAACGCTTGCCCGACACGCCTGCCCCAACACGCTTGCCCCGCGCTTGCCCTCACGCGCTTAGCCCACGCGCTTGCCGCCACGCGCTTGCCACGCGCTTGCCCACACGCCTTGCCCCACATGAGCGCTTGCCACGCGCCTTGGCCCCAGCGCGGCTTACCCGCCGCCGCCCGCTCGCTTCGCCGCCTCCGCGGAGCTACTTCACAACATTTCTCATATCCTCCAAAACTATACATTGCTTCTGTCCTCTTTTGTTTTTGATGAGACTCATAGTCTTGTCTCTCTCATCGCCTCACGCACGCCTTCCATGCCCGCCCGGCCAGCCCCGCCCCGCTCGCCGGCCCCGTTCGGCCCGGCCCGCCCGCCCGGCCCGCCCGCCCCGGCCGCCGCCCTGCCCGCCATGCGTCCGCCTGCCCGCCCTGCCGACCTCCCGCCTGCCCGCCCTCCCGCCTGCCGCCTGCCCGCCTGCCCCGCCTCTGCCCGCCCTGCCCGCCCTGCCGCCCTGCCCCGCCCTGCCCCGCCTGCCCCGCCCTGCCGCTGCCGCCTGTCCCCGCCCTGCGCCCGCCTGCGCTTGCCCGCCTGCCCCGCCTGCCTCTCCCCCGCCTCCCGCCCTGCCCGCCTGCCGCGCCTGCCTCAGCCCTGCCCCTGCCGCCTGCCCGCCCTGCCGCCTGCCCGCCCTGCCCCGCCTGCCCCGCCTGACTCGCCCTGCCGCCGCTGCCCGCACTGCCCCGCCCGCCTGCCCCGCCTGCCGCCCTTGCCCCGCCCTGCCCGCCTGCCCCGCTGCGACGCCTGCCCGCCCTGCCGCCTGCCCCGCCTGCCCGGCCCTGCCTCGCCTGCCCCGCCTGCTCGGCCTTGCCGCCTGCGTCGCTGCCCCGCCCTGACTCGGCCCTGCCTAGCCCGCCCTCGCTCTTCTCCCGCCGCCCCCATCACGTTCGGACGGGGCGGAGGCTGGCACTCCATTTGTAGGACGGCGCGCCGTCCGCCGCGCTCGGTCACGTTTTCATAAATTGGCGGGCGGCCCCGGGGTAAGGGCAGTCCGCGGGTTACACCGCCGGGGCGCGAATGCGAAGGCATTTTGCGTTTCGGATGCGTCGCGGACCCCCGGGCACGGCACCCTGCGCCTGCGAGATGTGGGCTTCGCCAGAAAGCGCTCCAGCGGTGAGGAAAGGAAATCTTGTTAAATGGGCCACGGACCGCGAGAGTGGCTCCAGGCATCAACTGATGTCACGGCAGTGCCTCTGACCGGGAGATCTCTATGGTTTCAGGTCCCGACGGTGGCTAGGATTTTGGCCATAGCTTGTCAGCTGAGTCGAGTTCGGCTTCGCAGTCTGGAGAAGATTTCCTAGCGGCTGTGAACTGCTCTGATGCGGTAGTTTTCGTGACAGTAACTAACCATACTTGGACATGATCCGCGCGCCGATCATTCCTTTCTCTTCCTTGTTAACATCACCCTTTCTTTACACGCTCTTACATACACTACTTCTTCATACACGGCGGGAGAGCGGTCGACACATGAGCTGACCTGCTGGAGCGGTTTCCATTCCTGGGGAATCCTGGTTCGGAAAACCACGGCAAGCCGATGAGGTTGAATGCGCTGATCTCTCATACAGCGGGGAAACATCACGGCAATTCCCGAGGATAAAAATGTAATACACTTACGGAGCTAGAGACCTTAGAAGTTGACGCGCTCGGAATCACGCAATTAACAATATATTTTTTTTTTTATTATCCAATCATACTTCAACCAGGCATTGTGGATAAAGCTGTTTAAGTATCGATGAACAGATTATTTCGGACTCATGAGCATAATGTGTGTATTACTCACACGGCGCTATCCGAAGTAATGCTATTGTTAGAGCACGAGGAGTCTTGTGTGTTCGTCAGAAGTGTTTGGTATAAAAAAATTATTGTAAATTACGTCTTGAACCGGTTGTTTTGTGCAAATCGTGAAGGGCGAAGGTCGGAGCCTCATCAGCATCTCGTAAAAACCTCAATTGAGGTATAGTGAGGTTCGGTTTGTGATTATCATGTAAATTTTAATTTCCGACTGTCATAGTGGAAGTGATAACTACACACCTTGTTCCTCAATGTAATGTATATATGTATGTATGTATGTATTTACTTTGGCACAACGCGTCGTACAAGCGTCAACACAAGTCGTACCAGGGGCGTCCCGGTCTCACGGCAACGGATTATGGAGTACGTGTGGTTAGCACATAGTCATCCATACGCATCCCTAGACATCTGGTTTTCTCAACTTGAGAAGGAAGCTTTCTCATCGTCCCACAGCAACAGACACTGGGGCATTGCAAGAAATGAGCATACTCTAACATGCTCCGACAAAGTATCGAACCCAGATCGCATCATGGAAAGTGATCGTGCTGACCAGGAAGCTTGTCTCTCAATAGTTTTAGAAACTTATCACCAGCAGTCTTATCCCTGTTGATCACCATAATATATCAGATTTATTTTGATCGTAAGGTACCTGCTCTTGCCAGCTCATGTTGGCTAATGTCAGCTGTATCCGGCTAAAGGTCATTTAAAATGAACGAACTGAGGACTTTATCCACCATTTTGGGTAAAAAAAACATTAACAAGCTATTTCGAGAATTAGCAACATTCAGACCGTAACATTTACATCAGCTGACAGAAATATTTTTTCTGTTCGCTCGCTTACGCATGAGTGTGGAAAACGTAGCACGTAAACATGCACAAGTGTCTGCTAATCGTACATGTGAAAATATTTCATTGTCACAGCTTTTTATACCAAGACGAACAAGTATATAATGCAGCATGGAAATCGCCTGTAATTACTTTGAAAAAAAGCTGTTCTTTCATTTGTTGTAATGTTAGTGTAGTGAAAATACGCACGGTTAATGCGTTTCCTGGGTTATATCAATCTTCACTGCGCAGTGGATAATTAAAGCGCTCGGATTTGTGCGTTAAAAGCATGGAATACTAGAAGCCGTTGTAACTCATACTGGCAACAGAATAAATTGATGGTTATTCAAGACTGAGGTAAATTTTAGGATTAACTCTTATTCACAACTATCGATCTCCAAACTATCCTTAAAGTCAAATTGTGTTTTTGTGCCTTTTATGCATTTTTCCAAAACCGTATTGTTAGTGTTACTCTTCTTTTCTTGCTATACGATCTAGTTGAGGACACGACCTCCGTCTCTCATCGGATTTTTTCCAGATCAGTGAGACTTCTCTATTTTTAAATTTAACGAATCCAACCCTCTCCATGTAAACATTGTCCTTAAGTTTGAATGCAAAATCGGCTCTCTGATCATTCACTTTTTGTCTCGAAACTGAAGCTGACACTCTTACTCACATAATCTTTTAAAACTTTTTAAATTTTTATTAGGGTACTTTGTTTGTTTGTGTTTATTCATTTAAGATAGTATAATATTTAAAATGCCTTATTATATATTAATTAAACATGATTGTACCATTTGTTAAGTTACTAAATTAACAATAACCTCAGGAGTTATTTCCTTACTTAGCTCAGGGTTTATTAGCCAAGTTCGAGTTTTATAAATATCGCAACATCAGTCATAAGCAAAATTATGTTCATTTCTGCGCATTTTTTAATGTGCTATTTGGGATGTTAATGTAATATTCATAATTTTTCCTTCTCATAAATGAACGCAGCGTGATTATCCCAGTTATTCAGTTAGTAAATTAATTCTTCTTAGAGTAATTTCCCCAACTTTGCTCTCCGGTTGTCAAGCGGCCACACTGACACAAAGAGCCCTCGCACCTCCGACCTCAAAGGCTGAGCTTCCTTTTTTTTTAAGGCGGCGCAAGGCGCGGTGCCGCGTGTGACGTGGCAAGCGGAAAGAGGAGAAGGGAGGTGGCGGTGGACGTTTTGTCAAAAATTTAACCCTTGCCCAGGGGAAAAGTGTTCCACCAAAGGGACTGAGAAAGGCGACAGTATGTCGCCCAACCCCAACCTCAACCCTCGCCTTTAGCCTTCCCTGCAAAGGGGTGAATACAAGCTGGAGGTACGTTACAGACTTGCCCGAACGGGTTTTTACCCGGCCGGTGAACCACGAGTGTCTGGGACTACAACCCAGCGGATGTTGAACGAACGGAACCAAAGGGTTTTATCATTTTTGTCACGAACGGAACCACACTTGAACGAACGGAATCAAACACTTTTCTCATTTTTGTCAGCGTGTCGATTCCTGCGTGCCTGTATCTTGTCTAGGCTTGTAAACCAACCCACTGTGCGATTTCCTTAAACTTCAACATATCTGACAGCGGCATGCGCTCGCCTCGACGATAGTCAACATCAAATGAGCCAGTTCAGGGTTTCAGGGAGTCACGCGGTTTCTGAGGTGGAATCACATAACGCGCGTGTAATAACATATTGTTCCTCTATCATCGTAAAAGGTTTAGCCTCAACTTTAGGTCACGTTGAGTACCCAGAAGAGCCAATTCGCAAACAATGTTCTCGCAGTAGAAGGTCTCAATGTATATTATTTTGTAGATTTTGGAGTGAGGAACATTACTTGGATCCTCTGACGTTTATCATTTTGCCGCGAAAATAGCACCATTTTAGTGGCATAATTCATAAAAAACGCCGATAAGCTGACCATGGGTTGCATGATTACTTTGTCACCTGCCTATTTTAGACACTGTTTCCAACATGTTATTTTATTTATTTATTGTATAGGGTTTCGAGGATATGGCCATTAGGCATGTATCCAAAACCCATTTATTCCACCCAGGCATCAATCGAAGTTTGTCACAGGCGAGGGTGTATGGGATCTTCTTTGAACTGGCGTTCCCCGTGGGCATGCCTGTTCCACCAGATTTGTTGTTTCATTGAACTATATCCGAGGTTTCTGGTTGAGAGAACGTGGGATCTCGGTAGGAAGGGAAAGATCTCCAGAACGTAAACTTTTCAGGGATCTTCTATGTACCACAAGCGTGATTACTGTGCGATATTTCTCTCGTCGAAAATTCAAGCGCCTCAGAAGCGACCGAACGCGCGCAACGGAGGTTCAGAGGCCACTAAGATATCCACTTGCCCATCGAGGCGCTCTTTCAACAGTTATTCTTCGTAACGAAAAAGTGAAATTTTTCTTTTCCTTCAAAGTTCGTTAAGAGTTGTTGAGTACGAGAACCACAAACTTATATGTACTACATATATAACATTGGGTAGTTTTAACTATACTACGCGACTATAGATGGAGAATAATTTTCAATTGATAACATTGAAGACAGAATAATCTGTAGGGGGAAAAGTTCAGTATGGGCGAACGTCCGTATGCACACGTTATCATAATTAGAGCGTTTTTGGCAATTATTGTCATTATTTTCAGTATTACAGCTTGTATCTCCGCTTCTCCTTCTCCTTAAAATTTTTTTTGATCTGCCACATTATGTTGGTCACTATCTTACTTTCTCGTATATTCCTCCTGGTAATGTATTGTCCCAGCAAAGAGAGTCCACCCCTTCTGCGCTCACCGCTGACACCTTTCAGTTGTTTCTTCGTATCACGATCTTTTCTAATCAGTCAAATCTCTGACAAAAATAATACCACCAGTCTCTTCTCCTTTGTTGAGAACACACACTAATTTCGTCCTAGTTCATCTTCATTTAGAAGGACTTTCATCTTCCTCCTCTCTCTAGGTTCGAGTACCGACGGTGACAGGTTATTCGTCACTAACTAGATGACTAGGTCGAGTTTTTCCGCTGTCTGGAGGAGAATTCTTGCGTCCGGCTGCTCTGATTGGTAGTTTACCGTGGTTTCTCCGATCAACACCAAGAAGATGCCGGAGCAGCCTCACAAATGGGCTACGATCCGCGCGCGATATTTCCTTCCAATTAATTGTCGTATCTTACCTCTTTTTACATACTTACCTTACATCCACTACTACTACCCATTCTAGGAGGCCAGTCGGGAGCTTAGAGCTTGTCCCGGCTGGGGCGGTGCTAAGCTGGTGGGTGATACCTGGTTGAGTAAAATCTCGCTAGCCGACAATACGTCGGCGCCAGATATCACCATTCAATGAGGGAATATCACCGTCACATCTCGAGAAAAAAAACATGTACCACACTTACTGGAATAACGACCTTAACACTTGACGTGACCGGAATTACTAATCCGTTAATCAATGTACATCGCCTCAATATAAGTCTCATTTTCTTTCTCTCCTACTTCAAGTACACCATCCATCTTTGCCACAAAAGCGTATTTTTTACCTCAACTTCCGACTTAGCCTAGTAGACTATACTCTTCACTTAAATTCATATTTTGCGTGTCATCTCCATTTTATCGGGACACATCTCTCCCTTTCTTTCTTTGCAGCTGTCAATTTACTTTTTCCTTGAGGCAATGATGATCCCCTCAATGTAATACACAAGAGCGATATCACCTCTCCTGTTTATATTATTGTCATCTCACATTCTACATTTCTGCCCTGTCTCCATTTGGTATGGCTATGTGTTCCATCTCATTCTTCCCCTCTTTACTATTTTTGTAAAACATATTGTTCATAGTGTCCTTTCCCTGAATCCTCGTCCCCTTAGCGTTAATTTTAACTTCGCTCTTATATTACCTCTTGACAATTTTCACGACTAGTCACGTTCTGTTACGCTGCCTTAATGACATTAGGATTTCTCTCCATCTCAGATTTTCAGATGCCACTCAAACATACCCTGTCGCCTTTCAAATGCAGTTGCTATCATCGTCATCTTTCTGGTGATCCTGATAAAATTCGAAACAAAAACATTGAGAAATATGAGCAAGGCGCCGTGGTTCGTAATGAACAATAATTTGGTACAGAGATATGATTATTTCAACTGTGGCAGAGACTATCAGCGAGGGAAGTAAGAGGCATCAGACGAGACTGAGTTACGATACGAATCTACTTTCAGTGAATATGTTGGACAATAGTGAACACGTGGACAGACAGAAGCGTGATCATGTATTCGATTTACCAATTAGATTCACTTAAGATGTACTTGTATATTGTATAACATTTACTCATTGTTCCAAGTGAACAGATTGTAAATTGGCAGTATTGAAAAAAAAATCATCAACTTGTAATTATCATTAACATAGTTATCTCCTTCGGTGAAGACAGTAATCATAGTTACCCAGGATTCTGTCTTCACCTCTTCAATCCATCTCTGGTTCATCTTGCCTCTTGTGCAACTCTCTTCCCCTTCTATCACCGTTTCCAGGACTCACTCTCCCTTCTGCTCTCTCTCTCTCTCTTTCTCTCTCTCTTTCTTTCTCTCTCTGTCTGTCTCTGATGCTGTCTGCACCTCTTCAATCCATCTCGAATTCATCTTGCTTCTTGTGCAACTCTCTCCTCCTTCTATTACCGTTTCCACGACTCCCTCTCCCTTCTTCTCTCTCTCTCTCTCTCTCTCTCTGTCTGTCTGTCTGTCTCTGATGCTGTCTGCAACTCGCCGCGTCGCAGAGGGACTTGCGCGAGCTTTGTGCGGCACTGTATCGAGGCAATCAAAGCGATGTCACCGACTTATTGGCTCCGCTTGGCTTTTGTTCCGGCGCGGCTTGGCAAATGACAGTTGAGCGCCGCTCGCCCGAGAGGGTCGCTCGCTCGTTGACGCTCCACGTTCACCCCCCCTCCTGCTCCCCACCCCCGCCCCACTGTCGGTCGGTGTGGAACCGCCGCCCGGTCAGCTATTTCCCCTTTCCCTCGCGGTGGTTTGTAAGAGGCGAAGGCGGGCGACATTGAAGATTTGAAACAAAAAAGAATGTACGTGCCATTCCCGTTAGTTTGAAGTATTTAGCAGAATAAAATGAATGAATCAAGCTCTATAACATACCCAAAGTACAAACACGTTTATTGATAGTGTTTTGTGTTTCGGGGTGACTATAAATGGTAGGAGTATACCTAAATTAATTTTTTTCAAAAGTATGAAAACGACACTTATTTTGTTTTTTATTTCAAGCTTTCAATTTTATTTGTAAATGCTCGATTTACATGATTCAAGCACACTCCGAGAAGAATATCTAGCGCACGGTTTTCCAACAGGCGGCCAGCGGTGATATTTATTGTGGTCCGCGAAAAAGTAATTAGTCAAAAGTACAAGTTCCTTGCAACCAATTCGGGCGAGAACATTTCACACTTAGCGCAAGCGGCCTGTCGTGATCAACAACTCCTTAATGTAAAAATAGTTTATTTACTGTAGATTGAAGATTTTTTTCTATTAAATTCAGAAATTCAAATCATTGCAATATTACTTGTGAATACTTGCATTATGAATAGTACGCAAATTTAAGTTTTTTCTGATAAATTCAGAAATTAAAAATCATTCCAATGATATGCATGGTACATACTTAAGTTATGCAAGGAACGGAGTGATATAACGTACGGTTACGTTTCTCCTCGTTTCAGAGCAGCCGTGCAAACTGCCGAGAACAACAATACGGGAAAATCCGAAGTAGAATGTCTGAGTTCTGTAAATATGGCCTGCAATCATATTAAGGATAAGAGTTGTGACCCTTGAGGCCTGGCAAGTTAGATATCATGTTTCATCTCTATATTATTTCCTTCAAGGCCTCTGCCTCTGCAGTGTCTCATACCAGGAGGTCCCGGGGTTCGAGTCCCGATCGTGGCATATTTTCAACTGTAGTCGAGTTGATTACTATCTTTTATTTATCGGTTGATCACTATCGTCTACTAATCGTGTTTAGTCTACGCAGCTGTCTTGATGAGAATTACAGTGGTCGGCTGCTATTCCCGTGGTTTTAAGCGAAAGCCCGGGCAGAACCTAACAAGTGGGCAACGGACCACGCATGATCAGTCACTCTTCTTCCTGGTCGCATCCCCTCGGTTTACACACTGATAAGCAATACACTACTACACATGCCGGGAGACCAGCCAGGAGCTTAACAAAGTTGTAGCGACTGGGGCGAAGCTCCGCTGAGAGAGGTATTTGAAAGAGATGAAAGCCGAGGGGTATGTCGGAGTCAACTTCTGGTGCGAGAGGAACACTACCACCTTCCGTGATAAAACATTCACTACTCTAACGGGACTAATGAACATATAATGTGACATGCACGGAACATCAATCAATCAATCGTTCAATCAATCAATCAATCAATCGTGAAGAGAGTACACGATGATGGCAAAGAGAGTTTATGAATGGTCACCATGTTTTGGTCACCATGCTCAGAAAGGGAATGGGCAAAGCGGCGAGTGAATTGTAAGATTTATTGGCTCTAATGGCAACTAATGAACACAGACCAGCTGAGCAAATATTCTTAAAAAATCACCCAAATGAAATGACATCGAAATGAGCGATATATTTTTGACCTCTATCATCCCACTCCGGACCCACTGTGTGCCGTTCGGCTCCCACGAGCTCTATCCCGCTTCAGCCGTGCTCACGTCCTCTGCGCCGACACGTAAGCCCTGCGCAGGCCGACGCTTTCCGTTCTTTTTTGTCACAGCAAGTACCTGTGCTCGCTTCCCGGTCACCTGCACCGCATCCTTCGGCCACGCTTGCTTTCCGCGCGCTCGCGCTTCCACCCCATCCC